TTTGCCTGATGCTTTCCTCGTTCTTTGCCCCTGTATTGTTCTGCACATCAGGATAGTGACAAATTTCATCATTTCCAGTAATAAAGAAGGCCGAAGAATATCGTGGCTGAAAAGTGGTGATAAAATAACGTGGATGAGGATAGTAGTCGCTAATAGATTGATTTGTTTTTACCGTTTATCAACCCACTAGGGGTTATTTAAAACCGAAGCATGTATTGGATTGTAAGAATAATTCACCTTTTTTATGCGAGGGAATATTGCATTAACATTTTTTGACACTAACAATGATTTTTTTTCCAGACACAAGTTCTACTATTTAATCCATAGTTGGGGAAAATTGATGGATTGATGCCTTTCTTAAGGGTATTTGCGCCTACGTGCATGTAACAAAGCCGATTGAAAATCGAACTCTTCTACATTGTAAGTTCCGTTAATTCATCTGAGCATTTCTGTGAATGAAGAAGTCCGTCTGAAACGGTGTCGATCGAAACGTTTTGATGAATCCCTAGATGATATACATTGAAAACAGTATGCAAACAAAAGTACCTCACTCCTCCTGTCATGCTTTATCAGAACAGACCATCAAGGAGGTACTGCACTCATATCTGAGATCGAGTTTCACAATTCTCATTTTCTAAGCATACGTTCAAAAACGTCGACGCGGCCTTATGGGCGATGGCATATTTTCTACCTTACATCTCCTTTCCCACAGACTAGACCTCGCAAGCATTTTGCTACCCTATCGTTACTTCCATGGCAAATGTTCACACGAACTTCATTCTTTACTTCCACCAGTTCAGACCTTTACTGCTAAGCCTCTCTCTAATCTATCGCTATTTCCATGGCAAATGTTCACATAAGCTTCATTCTTTACTTCCACCAATTCAGACCTTTACTGCTAAGCCTCTCTTTAATCTATCGCGATTAGGATTGGTTTTCCGGTTCCTTCTAAAGTCTACTTCAGATCTATACTTCTAATGTCTCCGCCTAAGAATCTGGACTTTTATTTACCACTAATTTTCTTTTTCTTTTCTCAATAGGAATAGATAGGTTCGCCTATCGCCCGATCACACTCCTCCCCTGTCTTTTGAACAGGAGTAGATGTTCACCCCTTGTTTCCCTAATTTTTTTTATGTAATTTCTCATGTGATCTAATAATTTTTTTTTCTTTTCAGATGAGAAATTATATAAAAAAATGTCCGAACGTTCTATTTTCCGAGCGCTTTCGTCTATACATTTAGCCATTTTCAAGGATGAAATATTTTAACTGTAAAATAAGAAATAATTGGCTGCATGTATTTATTTACATAATGTTTTCAATTTTTTTCAAAACACGGTCAAGATATTATGTCCATGTTCAGAGTTGATATTATACAGTGATTTTGTTTTGTTTTATTATTATTATTTTTTTGTTCCATTATTTTTAGCCTTTTTTTTTGCATGTAGATGATGCTATTATATTTGTGTTGTCAACAAGTATGTTACGAATAGCGTCCGTTAGGTCTCCAAGAATATTTAAATGAGATCTAATTGAGCTATGGTCAGAAAGGTGTAGAGTGAGTCTTCGTGTCAATTATTTAAAATATATAATATTATAATAGGAGGCCAAAAAGTGGGGGGAGCAGCCTAGAAAGGCGTAAGCACCAAAAAAGTGCTCGGTGCAAGCTATAAAATAAAAAATGCAGAGCGAGATGTCTTGAAAAAAAAAATCTCTCTACCCGGGTTTCGATCGCTACTCCACAGGCAGCTTGAAAAAGCTGTAGTAAATTGAACTCCACAATAAACCGGAAGGTGGATGGTACTGGTGGAGGTGGGAATTAGAAGGGAGAGGGTCAAAACACCAGGGGGTGGATGGTATTGGTAGGAGTGAGACTAAGAAGGGGGAAGGTTGTAAAAAAATTATTTTAGGGGAAAACACTCATCTGGGTTCCTAACTGTTCAATAAATATTTGCGTAAGTGCTTGCGACCGGTTAACTCTTCAGTCCTTTCATTAAACAACACTTGCTTGTCTGGATAAATTGCTATGACCAGCTTCTCCTCCTGATATTAGACGGCAGCCTTTACCACGGACTCTGCCCGGGTTGACTTTTCTAATTATCTTTCACTTCACACAAGGATCTCTACCGTTCTCTTGTTTGTAACTCCAGACGTAATCCACCAGTTTTGTATCACTTTTTGGCTCCCCTCTCTAAATGAGGTACTCTCTATCTATAAAAGACAGGATGTGTGTGTGTGTGTGTGTGTGTGTGTGTGTAACGAATGCACGGCCGCAATTTTCGATGGATTTGCACCAAAATTTACATGCACATGCTCCAAGTTAGCGGGAAGGCCAACACCGACTTTGCATTCCCCAACTCCCATCGATAGTGGAAATAATCGATTTTTTCATGCTTCTACGGCAGTTTTTATGTAGTTTGCGGCCATTTTCTACTGGCCAGAGTGAGAGCCTATAGCTTGCTACCACGAATAAGCAGAAAGATTCTATTGGCCAGCGTAGAGCTAACAGCTAACGAATGTTAACTAGCATGCAAAAAAAAGTGGGAAAAATTTAAACCTGCATGGCACTTTACTCCAATTGGCTCATTCGCTTGCTTAAACTCAACGTTGATTCTGATTCCGTAGAACTGGGTTGAGTGTGAAAAAGTATTTGTTGTTAACATTCTTTTTTCATTTGGTTTTTCCAGTTGCGAGTCCTTTTTTAAAGCTGATCGTTTTGTGTTCATTTTGTTTAGTTCTTTTTTCGTAACAGATTTAATGTTTAGTTTAGAGCTTAGAAAAATACGCAGTGTGAGAGAGGCAAGAAGTAAGGCATGTAGCAACATCAGCACGGCAAAGGGCACTCCTTAAAGGCAAGGAAGGGCAAAAATATTTTAAGTCAAGTGATAGTAATTGCTGTATGAGTCGTACGATTTTTGAATCAAGCACGGGCAACGACGGGCCATGCTGCTAGTATGACTATATAAAAAGGTGCTCCAATAACTTCGATCGATTTTGAATGTCAATTAAGCGCCTAATGATTTTTTTTTTTTTTTTCTTTCACATTTAACAACTTCAGTCTTTGGCAATTTCAACCATTGGAAAGATTAACAATCAAACGACGTGTTAAAGTTTCAAGAATGCTATTGGAAAAATTGTTCGTAAATTCAAACAAACTGGGTCGGTGGCAGATGTGAAAACATTGCGTGTTCGTTTGCGCCGTTCAGCTGAAAACCTCGCTGCAGTGCACGAGAATGTGACCGAAAATCCAGACCCCCTCTATTCGGTCATTGCACGCAGGAATTGAACCTCTCCACAACAACGTTACACTCTTTCCAATTGCACTCTCGGTTGGTCGATTATTTTGACCCAAATAATCGCGAAGTGCGAGAAATGCATTTCAGTTTGAACGTCCATTTTCGTAATAGGCTTCGATAACTTTAACACGTTGTTTGATTGTTAATATATCAACCATGATTCCATTGTTGACACACACACACACACACATACACGTACACACACGCACACACACACACACATACACACACACACATATATATATATATATATATATATATATTGAGACATGTTTCGTTGAATAATTTAGACATGTTCTGTATACTTATTTTCAATTGGATCCTTTCATATTCATTGATAAACTTTTGGTGTCGTTATTGAAGGATGAGAGAAAATCGCCGTGTTGATAAATATTTCTTTTTTTTTTTCGAGTACTTTCGACATAGCGCAATGTCGTCATCAGCGTATTGTTTATTACAAGACAAATATAGTAGTGTTCATTGTTGTCGAAGACAAAATTGTTGTTTTCATCTGAAAGTTAAACTTTTTACAAGTGGAGTGAGGGACGCTGCGTCAGTACGTGGCCGCTGAAACCGTTTAAGGCGAGGTAACTAAGTATGGAGTCGGGAGTTTTTTGTGAAATAAGCAGTAAAAGAAAATGAATATCCGTGAATAGGAAAGGATCCAATTGAAAATAACTATATATATATATATATATATATATATATATATATATATATATATATATATATATATATATTATGCACTGTCAAATTAGAATATGTATACACGCTGTTGTACGCTCCGGCCTTCTTCAGGATTTTTCTATAATTCTGAGATGAGGTATTGTAACTATTTTCCACTATTTCCATCGTTCGAACTGTTGTCCTCATCTTGATTGGCATATTTACGACGTTTCAGCTGTTGTACGCTCCGGCCTTCTTCAGGATTTGTCTATAATTCTTAGATGAGGTATTGCAACTATTTACATTATTTACATAGTTCTGACTGTTGTCCTCATCTTTATTGCCATAATTCACGACGTTTCAGCTGTTGTAGGCTCCGGCCTTCTTCAGGATTTGTCTATAATTCTGAGATGAGGTATTGTAACTATTTTCCACTATTTCCATCGTTCGAACTGTTGTCCCCATCTTTATTGCCATATTCCCGACGTTTCAGCCGTTGTACGCTCCGGCCTTCTTCTGGATTTGTTTATATCTCAGAGATGAGGTATTGTAACTATTTGCATTGTTTACATCGTTCAGACTGTTGTCCTCATCTTTATTGTCATATTCATGACGTTTCAACCGTTGTACGCTCCGGGTTTCCTCAGGATTTGTCTATATTTCTGAGATGAGGTATTATAACTTTTTACACTATTTATATCGTTCAGACTGTTGTCCTCATCTTTATTGTCATATTTACAACATTTCGGTCGTTGCATGGTCCGGCTTTCTTAAGGTGACATACATTTGAATTTCAAACCGAACCCGTTAGTCCACGGGGGTAGATTATTCTAATTCCACATGCCATGCCTTTTCTCAGTTTCAATTATTTCCCTTTAGTAAATCAACTCTCCACATTTTTGTTCAGCTCTGCTGTGGCTAGGTATAAGTTCTTTTTTGAATTACTCAACCAACGCTTTTATCTGCTAGGCTATGTTTTCTTGGGAACATCACTTGCAGAGACGTGTTACTAAATCGAATTAACTGAGATATTCCGAAAAATGCATGCGACGTCGCTTTACAGAGGTTGGTAATCTTTTAGAGAAAGTAGACCAGACTGCTTTGCAGTATTTCAGAGGAGAGACATGATATCAAATATACGATAAGATCAATAAATAAGGTGAATTTTTCGGTCTAAGGACTTCTAATAGAGATAGAAGCCTCCTTTTTTTTCAACGTAGTCTCCCAGCACAGTCAAACAAGCTTCCGTATTCCCTCAGCGTAAACATCTTTGGACTGATGTCTCAGCCAGTCGCTCGCAACACTTTTGACTTCATCGTCACTTTTAGACTTCGTGCCTCTCGTGAAAGCTTTCAAGGGACCAAACAGGTGAAAGTCTGAAGGGGCAAGGTCTGGGCTGTAAGGGGGATGAGGGAGCAGTTCCCAGCCCAGCTCGTTGATGGTCTGCACCGTTTGGGCTGCTGTGTGAGGCCTTGCGTTGTCATGATGCAAGATGACTCCTTTTGACTGATGACCCCTGCGTTTGTTCTTTATGTCTTTCTTGACCTGCCTCAGCAGTACACTGTCACCCTTCTGTCAGACTGAATGAGGTCATTGACTGATTCGATCACTTCAGGTGACCTCACTTCTGTAGGCCTCCCAGGCCTGTCTTCATCCACAACACTGCTCCGTCCTTCTTTAAACAATTTAGCCCACTTGTAGACAATTTTTTTGGCTGAAACATGTGGCACCATACACAGTTGACATTCTTCTATGAATTTCAACTGGTTTGCACCCTTCAGCAACTAAAAACTTCATAACTGACCGCTGTTCAATCCTGGAGCATGCTTCTTCGTCGGCCATCTTTGTTAATCACCAAAACTCTCAAAGTTTTTTTTTAATCTGCAAAAGAAATTAAATCTATATGAAAAAGAAGTAAAACAAGAAAAAGTAAGCTTCTATCTGTATTAGAAGTTCTTATACCGAAAAATTCACCTTATTTATTGAATGATCCTCGTAGTATAATAAATTGTTGCGACCTCAGACCGTTCGTCGAGAAGGCTGACTTGGTCTGCAGGTTTAAAGAAAAAACAACGAAGTTAATGATTATTTAAACAAGGTTCCTTATTTTACTGCACGAACAACAGGAAAATAACTGACACAACAAAAAAATGCAACTTCCTTACTACAAGCGAAAAATAGGGAGAAATGAGAAATTATTTACTGAGGCCCTTGTTTCTATTTCTTGTTCGATAAATTCACCACGTCACAGGTGAAATATTTGTCAGTGACAGAGGGGCAAAACATCATCGTGTTGGTCATCACCCAACCTTGTTCTAGATCGACTTTTAATATATTTCATTTTCGACAAAAGTTTTTTACAAGGATATGTACTTCCAAATAAAGATACCATCATTTTCGTATTATTCAATTGGCTTTTGTATTTTCCGCTTAGCAAATCATATCTCAGTCTGCTCATATCTATCTACCTCTGTTTGTTCATATCTATCTATCTATCTATCTATCTATCTATCTATCTATCTATCTATCTACCTATCTCAGTCTGTTCATATCACTTGAAGAGACAAAGATTACAGTTGTAAGGGAAGCAAACTTTCGGGAGTCTGTTCCACAAAGTAACAGTTCTAGGGAAGATATTCTCTGAGTGGAACTCACTCCTATTCAAAGGAACACGACAGAAATGGGGATGATCTATCTATCTATCTATCTATCTATCTATCTATCTATCTATCTCAGTTTGTTCATTATCTATCTATGCATCTAACTCAGTTTGTTCATTATATATCTATCTACTTTGTTCATATCTATCTATCTATCTATCTATCTATCTATCTATCTATCTATCTATCCGTTTGTTCATATCTATCTATCTATCTATCTATCTATCTATCTATCTATCTATCTATCCGTTTGTTCATCTATCTATCTATCTATCTATCTATCTATCTATATGACTGTCTGTCTGTCTCTTTGTTCATATCTATCTATCTATCTATCTATCTATCTATCTATCTGTCTGTCTGTCTGTCTGTCTGTCTCTTTGTTCATATCTATCTATCTATCTATCTATCTCAATTTGTTCATTATCTATCTATGCATCTAACTCAGTTTGTTCATTATATATCTATCTACTTTTATTTGTTCATATCTATCTATCTATCTATCTGTCCGTCGCTTTGTTCATATCTATCTATCTATCTATCTATCTATCTATCTATCTATCTATCTATGTGTCCGTCTCTTTATTCATATCTATCTATCTATCTATCTATCTATCTATCTATCTATCTATCTATCTATCTATGTTGGAGAGGTCTGTGAGAAAGAAATAATGATTTATGCTTAGTTCTGAGAGGAAAGACAGCCTCCTTCATAACTCAGATTGCCTTCCTATTTCTACCGTCTGTTGGGCTTTCCTTCACCCGCTGTCCGATATGCTTCCATGCTCAACTGATGATACATATTTATTTACTCGAAGCTCGAATGACTCTAGCTGGCGTTAAATGCGAAAAGAACGATAGAAGCGTCGGCAGGTGTCAGTGCAAAGACAGTGTGATATCTCGAGACCCTGACGCTTGGCAAGAATGGACGAATGGCCGATGATTAATGCCGCGAAGTAAAGAATAAGTTATGACCAATGTAAACGAAAAGAGAATCGACTTAAAATATCTGCGTCCTTGCAGACTGGTCAATAACAAGTGAAAGATGGTGAAGTGGCATATATGTCTACTGAGGAGCTATCCATATCACCCAAAATGTTTTCAACGAAACGACACACAATGAAAGTAAATATACCACAGGTTAGAAATATTTCTGTTATGGTCCGGTTCCTTGTACCACGGTGATAGTCCAAGGTAGAACCAATAAAGAAGAACTCGAATACGGATATGGAATAACACAGATATATTACAAACAGAAATATATACAGAGAAGTAGAAAGTGTTTGTACGAACAATCAGGTTTAGTAGTAGTCTGAACGCGACTCTGTTTCGGACTGCCTCTGACTCGACTGACTGACTCACTCGCTCTGTCTGATAGACAGACCTGACGGACTTCACTCCAGACTTCAGACTGAACTCTAGACTTCAGACGGAACTCCACCCGCTGCTTCCTCTTGAGGCGCAGTATTTATTACGTAGGGAATAGTCCATTATGTTATTATGGGTATAGGTCCCATAACAATTTCCTAAGATATGAATCAAATAAATAAAAGTAAAAGTCTGACAATAGAAAAATAAGCACGTCTTTCGTTTCCAACAGAATGCACGTGCAAAACATTACATTTCAAATAAATGTTCTATATACGTCCCAACCTAAACTGGAGCGCTTCTCGTTAGGTTCGTGACCCCACGCATATACGAAGAAAACGTAAAAAAATTAGTTCCTTTCTGAAAGTATCGCTTTATAAACCTAGTCAGCTGCAGCTGCGGTTATGCATCTCCTCTACAGCCAATCATCTGTGTTATGGCCGAAACTCACTGCAAAGCGAAAGAGCGGTCATTTCGATGAATGAAAGGAACTAAATGATAATATGCTGTGCCATGGTAACCGCAGCAGACAGAAAAAAAATAAAACAAGAGGTTCATATAAAAGAAGAACCAAAATATATCCTGGATAATTTAGAGTATTTACTGATCTTAAATCCACTCGAAAATACAGGGTGTCCATAAAGTTTGTATGCCCTTGAAAAAATTTATAACTTTATTTGTATTTGCGATAGAAATAATCTGTAAAAAATGTTATAAAGTTTAATGTACCTAGTTTTAAGTATAGCTAAAATAACTAACGTGATTTCAGGCATTACTGTAAATTAGTTGGCAAATGTTTTCCGTGAACTGCAAAATCGTATTACCCTTTGTATTGCTAATGATGGAGGACATGTGGAAACTTAAATAAAATTTCAATAAAGCCTTAAAAAATATAGATTTACTTATTTCTAATCCTTTTTATAAATTATTTCTATCGCAAATACAAATAAAGTTATAAATGTTTTAAAATGCTTCCGAATTTTATGGACACCATGTATATGACTAGAGAAGACAGTTTTGAGCCAATTCAGCAAATAGAGAGAAACTAATTTGTATTAGTTATCCAAAACCTTGGCTCAAACTTTGACAATTGGCTCCATGGGTATACACGTAATTATTTCATCTACTAGATATACAATGATTCGCATATGGAAAAGCACTTGTCTTCCAGAAAAGTAATTTAAACTATTAGAGGAAATTTGGAGAAATAGAGCAAGGAATATTGTATTAGACGAATAATTATTAAACAGGAGGTTCATGGCTCTCAGAGAAGGGATTTCAAATGAAAAGTTGCCCCGTCGGCTGTACTCAAGAATACGCTGACTTCATGTCCGTGCAGAGGAGTAACCACTCCCATAAAAAGGGAAACCAGTTTGCTGTGCCTTTTGATTCCGTGAAAATCAAGCATGTGTCTACTATTTTTATTGTCGTGCAACGCAAATATCATTACATATAAATATATATATAGAAAAAAACATCAGGTGTTTTCCAAATCTTATTTTTTTCTATACAACAGGTTTTTGTACAGAGCTTTCTAACACTTTCATTTTTTACCCATTAAACACTGTACAAATCATGGAAAATGACAATTAAATTAGAAAAAGCGGATAAAGACACAAATGAAGGAATCCTCAAACAACTAAAAGAAATTAATACAAAACTATCTACTTTAACGGAACAATTGGACAGATTTTATGAAAACACAGAAAACACACAACAAAAAAGTCAAATAAAAAACATCGAAAAACTATTTAAAAACATGGAAAGTATCGTTCAAATAAAACAAAATAGAAAATAACTAGAATCTTTTCTGTTAATTTACCCCGAATTATGTAAAGTTATATATCATAAATATTAAGTTTAGTATTTAAATTTAAGCTGAAATACCAGATTTTATAGTTGGAATTACTGGGTTAAATTTAAGCTTAAAAAACAGATTTTATGATGGAATTAATGGGTTAAATCTAAGCTTAAATACAGAATTGAATGGTCGTAATTAATGGTTTACATTTAAGCTTAAATACCGGATTATATATTGAAAATTAATGGGTTAAATTTAAGCTTAACTGATTTTATGCTGGTGATCAATGGGTTAAATCTAAGCTTAAATACCGGGATTTATGGTGGAAATTAAGGGGATAAATTTAAGCTTAAATACTGGATTTTATGGAGGGAATTGATGAGTTAAATTTAAGTTTAAATATCGAAATTTATGATGGGAAATAATGGGTTAAATCTGAGCTTAACTACTGGATTTTATGGCCGGAATTAATAAAGTTTAAATACCGGATATTATGTTCGGAATAAATGTGTTAAATCTAAGCTTGTACACATAATTTTATATTGGGAACTCATGGGTTAAATACAAATTTAAATACCAGATTTTATGGTGAGAATTAAAGGGTTAAATTTAACCTAAAATACTGGATTTTATGGTAGGAATTACAGGATTAAATCTAAGCTTAATTAGCGGATTTTATGGTGGAAATTTATGGGTTAAATCTAAGATGAAATATTGGATTTTATGGTGGGAATTATTGGGTTAAATTTAAGCGTAAATACAAGATTTTTTGTCGGATTGAATGGATTAAATTTAAGCTGAAATATTGAATTTAATAGTGAGAATTAATGGGTTATATATTCCTGAAATAGGGGATTAGGTATTTATATATTCCACGAATTTCATTATTTGGTCAAGTGTCATTTTTTTTTTTCAAAACATTTCAGCCGATATTTTTTTTCAACTTTGCTTTCCAGGAATCATCGCGAATTCCGCACTATTTTCTTCTTTCTTATTTTCACAAATTATTTAGGCGAATGTTTTCACTTTTTATATACTGTAGAATTTTTTAAAATATTATTTTTCCTTCAGGACGTAGAAGCGATCATGACTCTCGAGGATTTCCATTTATTTATCCATGAATATTTCGGACACTCTTTGTGAAGAGAAAGGAGAGATTTGTCCTTAACTTCTTCGCGGTTTCATTTCGAAGTTTCCTTTTACTTAGCTTGGTTACCCTTCAAGGCTAGAGAGCTCAGTCTTCTCCGCTATTCAGCCTATAGCTGGGGTGTGGGGTGAACAGTCGGAGTTATGCTTTTCCCGAAAGAATTAGTGCGAAAACGAACGCAACTGTCTAACCCGGAATTTGAACTCGGCTCGCAGATTTCAACTTCCATGCCGTTAATTGTTACACTAACCTGCATATTGTGTATTGTCGCGTTACGTTCTTCTTAATCTAGTATGTTCGTATCCCTTCAGGATGTGGCCGATCATGGCTCTCCACAATTTCCTATCCTTTGTGAATCTTATTAAAGTTTGCCATTGTTTATTTCTTTTAATACCAGTTCTGTCAACCATTTACACAAGCTCCTTAGGTAGGTTATACGCGGTTTTCTGTTCTTCTCGCTTTCAATACGCCCTGTGAGTGTAGATTTTTCTAAGTCATCTTTCCTCATTATTTACCCTAGAAATTTAAACTGTCTATTTCTGATGCTACGTATAAGTGTATTTGTTTGTTTCCATTTCCTCGTCGTTGTTCATATGTTCAGTCTATGTCATCCTCAGCATCCTGCTGTAGAACAACATTTCTGTTGCCTCTAGCCTCTTTGTCATTATTTTAGTTCATTCATATTGTAAGATACTGAGTGTAACAGCAAAATTGTTCAAATCGTGTAACAGTGTTGGATAATAGTCCATGCCACAAAATATTTAATATCTAAAAAAACACGAAACTAATTGAGTTTCTTTTTTACCGGTTTTCAGATAAGGCATTTATTTAGCCGTCTTGGTACCATTTGTCATAAGAATCAGTGAAAAACCCTTTGAGTTATTCAGCTAGAAAGAGAACAGGTTAAAATCCTTTTGTGTCAGCCCTACTATGTCTTCCCAACTGAGCAATGGGGAGAGGAAAAATATCATTTAGACCTTCAGTAATGCTACTATCATTCATACTCTGGCTTCCATCTTCAAGCTCCATTCAAGAAACATCAAGGGAACGGTTAATAAGTTTCAAAAAGAGGAAGTAGTAGAGAGGAAAACTGGACCAGGAGGTCACAACAGGAAGAGGGATCATCATTTCAACTTGGAGCTAAATACATTTTTATTGTTCAAAGTGGAGTCCAATTCCAGTAAGATATCTTTAATCATTTCTAAGATACACCGGTCAAAATTTTAATCTAACAATTGGACAATTTTGCTGTTACAACCGGTATATAGTTAATTTTTTCATATGTTACTTAATTTTTTACATCATATATTTAAAGTTAAAATTTCCTGTTTTTTTGTGTTGCGTGGCACTCTGCTCTTAAATTCGTAAAGTTGATGTAGCAAAGAGAACAATTACCATGAAAATATTTGTAGTAAATAAATATTTCATTTTAATTTCTTGTTTGACACTTGCTGCTACTCAAGACTAAAGAGGCAGGGATTTAGTGGAGAAAATGAACGCGGCAGACGATCCTTGAAACTGAACACGGCAGACGATCCTTGAAATTGAACACGGCTTGACGATTTTTTCCTTTCGTGTTGATAACCGTTGCACTAAATGTATATCCCATCTTATGAACATGATATCGAATTCTGCTGAGTGCTCCAGAGTTTTCAGATTTTTCCAATCTAAGAATAAGGTAAAAAAAAAAAAAAAAAAAAAGAAAAGAAAAGAAAAAGACTTGGAGACTGGTGTCGTGTACTTGGCTGACCGGATAGGGTTCTAGCGAGACGGTAAAAGCTGATGAAAGGACTGTCAGCAAACCACAAGGGGCGAAAGAAAGCAGGAATGATTGTCAGGGAATATAACAGCGGCTTCCATGTCAACACGAAGATTTCAATTCTGACTGGTGAAAGTACTTGCTTGAATGAAAGAGATGAACCAAAGCAATGATGCTGACAGATTTAATTCAGATTCTGGCTGGAGAAAGGGAGGATAGAAATCGAAAGTGTATTAGCTTGAGATAAAGCTGATAATAATGGCAAATATTATTATTATTATTATTATTATTATTATAGTTACTCTATTTTAGTGTTGCTAACACTCTGCGTTCATATACTTAATATTATTGCTCTTCGTTTATTACTAGTCATACGCCATCTTATTATTGCAGCTTTTTATCCCAGCTCTCTGGGTCAATGCACTCTTCATTATTATTACTATTTTTATCATTATTATTTGTAATAGTAGGAGAAGTAGCAGTAGTAGTAGAAACAATAGTTGTAGTTGTTGTTTTACTTCACCTTATTGTTACTCGATAACACAACACTCAGATTCAATGCTTTCTTCATAGTTTTATTACTAGCTTTACGCCATCTTAATTTTTGCTTTTTTATCCCAACTGTCTGGGTCGATGCACTTTTCATTATTACTATTATTTTATCCTTAGTTTTCTTTTTGCCTTGTTTCTTTCTTTCTTTCTTTCTTTCTTTCTTTCTTTCTTTCTTTCTTTCTCCTTCTCTTTTCCCTCTCTCCGTCTGTCTGTCTGTCTGTCTGTCTGTCTCTCTCTCTCTCTCTCTCTCTCTCTCTATATATATATATATATATATATATATAGGAAGAGGATGTATGTATATATATGTTTGGTTGAATAATCTGGACATATTATGTCTATTTATTTTATTTCAATCATCTCGAATACTCTAATCGACTTCTTAATGTTGATATTAAATTCATTAAGGAAAACGCCATAGTTTTTTCATTTCTTTTATTTTCTCAAGTGCTTTCAGTCTCATCCTCATCCAAGATCATTTTCAGGAGTGAATTGCTAAGACAAAAGAAAATAATGTAATTGATACTTGTGATTTTTTTTTGTTTTGTAAATACGCATAAAACGTTCTGTTATAATTAAATTAAACACGTATGAACGCGATCTGTTATAATTAATTTAAAAATTAACTGTTAGTTATGATGTTTCTTTCATGTTTTGATCTAAGGGAGGTAACTTTAAATTATTATAATCTTTTATATAATTATAATTTTAAAAACATTGATATGATAGACATTTTAAAACATTGTTGCTATACTCAATTCACCACTAAAATAAAAATGAATAAACATAATATGTCCAGATTATTCAACCAAACACGATTAAATATTATGCAGCCTAAATACACACACACACACACACACACACACACACACACACACACACACACACACACACACACACACACACACACACACACACACACCGGATGTAACAGTAAAATTGTCCAAATCGTGTAACAGCAAAATTGTCCAATTGTCAGATTAAGATTTGAACCATTGTATCTTAGAAATGATTAAAGATATCTTACTGGAATTCTTCGAGGTTTTTATAAAACTATTCGACTCTACGTTGAGCAATAAGAATGTATAATTACTCTTCATGCTTAACAGAAGAATCGTGAGGGAGTTGATTCAAAACGAAAATGATATGCTCATCATTAATTAATCCTAGCTAAGGATCGGAAGCTCATGAAGTGTTGAAATAAAGTTCAAATATATATCTATTATTCCAGGGGCTTTTCCCAACTTATTCAAGATGCTCTTCACCTTCTCTAATCTTCTAATTCTCTATCCTGGAGTAACAAGATGCCTCACACGTTTCACGAAGGATTTCATTTTCAAGTCTTTTGTCACTGATTTTTGGGCTGTTATAGTTGAAACTCCTCTCCCAAATATCAAGCGTCTTATGGGTTGAGTTGGATCTTTTCTAATAGATCTCTTTAGCTCTAAGTAGAAATGATCACCCCTCTTCCTGTTGTGAACCCTGGTCCAGTTTTCCTCTCTACTGTTCCCTCTTTTTTAAACTTATTGTTGAGGGTTCCACCCCTTTTTATACAAATGAACTCACCCAGTATATACATATACTACTGCAAGAGCAAGACCGAGGAGTCGAGTCGAGTCGAGAGTGACAGAAGTAAAAGGTTGTAGGTAACCGGAAGAGTGAGGGTGAGGTAACAGCGTTGTAGGAGTCACAGTGAGCGAGCACGTAGACTCAGTAAGAAGTCATACAGCGATACTTCAACACCAAAGACTGTATATATATTTTGCTACTAACCCGTATTCCTGGAACTACTAACCTGCTTTACCAGTTTGTATTATTACGTTAATACATTATTTTCATATATTCATTCCTGACGTTTGTTATTTATTGGTACCGGATTTCAACCCGGAATTCACAAAACTTATTCACCGTTCTCTTGATGCTTCTTCAATGGACTTTGAAGATGGAAGCCAGAGTATGAATGTTGATGCCATTACTGAAGGCATTAATGATCTTTTTCCTCTCACCATTGTTCATTTGGGAAGACAGTGGTTCTGACACAAAACAATTTTAAACTGCTCTCTTTTTAGCTGAATAGAACAAAGGGGTTTTCAGTGTTTTTTTCTTGTTTTTTTTTACGACAAATGGTGTCAAAATGGTTAAACATATCTGAAAAGCTGGGAAAAAGTGACTTAATTAATTTAGTGTATTTTTTAGATATTAAACTTTTGTGGGATGAATAGTTACGCTGTTACACGATTTTGACAATTTTATCGGACAATCTGAAAGGAACTTACTTAAAATAAATAGACAAAACTTGTCTATATTATTTAATGAAACATGCATTAATGAAAAATTGCTGCCTAAATATACACAATATATATATATATGTTTGTTTAAAGGTAAAAGACAATAGGAAAACTGTATTATTAGCAGGCGCGTTTCGTCCAATGTGGACTTTTTTTAAGGCAAAAACGAAATGAATTGACTAAAAACAAAGTAACTATTAACAACAAAACAAAATGTCCTTAGCAACTAGAAGAATTTAGAAAACGTTATTATATTCATATTGTCAACTGAAAATTACGTCAAGTACTATCACGTGTGGGAATATTGTTTTTATTTTTGTTTTGACGGATTCAAGCATTTTCTTTTGATTTCTTGAAACAGTTGTATACGTTTGCTTGGAAGAGTAGTAATTCTGTTAGGAAAGGTGATATTGGGAAAAAGTCTAGGCGTAGATTAATATTTGGATAATATTCAATGGCGGTACTCTCGAGGATTTTCCTTCTGAGTGAGTTATTTTCTTCTTTTATGAGTGTATCATAATCCTCATTGTACATTAATCTATGATAGAAAGATTAATTAAGATGTAAGATGGTGTAAGCTGAATAATGATGCCATGAATTTATATGAATAAAAGATTTTGTTTAAAACAAACGCTGCGAAATTTTTCATCAACCTCATTTGATGGAATACACAATTTAGCTGAAATAAGATCATAGAAAATGATGGGAAACACAATTTAGATTAAAGTTGGCGTAAATTCTTAGAAAACCAAGGAAAGTGCTTTAACAACTGAATAATGAATCCATGAATTTATATGTCAAAAAGATTTGGTTTAAAATGATGGAAACTATAATTCTTTTTTCTTATTTTTTTCATATTATCTAACACTCAGTAACCCCTTGCGTCTTAGTAGCTTTATTGCCTTGCTTGGGGGCGAATTTATTTTAAAAAATAATATGATGGAAAACACAATTTAGCTGAAAGGTCCTTTACCCTCAGGAAAATATTTGATTATTGAATAATGATGACATGAATATATATGAATAAAAGATTTTGTTAAAAAAACGAAAAAAGCTGGAAACTTTTTCATCATCCTCATATGATGGAAAATACAATTTAGCCGAAAGGTCATCAGCTCTTAGAAGGTGAAAATATTTTAATGACGAAAGATTGACGCTATGAAATTTTTATGAATAAAATATTTTATTGAAAATTTCTGCAAAGTTTTGAACTATCTAAATGCTAAAACCTGAAAAAGATTTGCATGTAGAAAGATTTGCATCCTTAAAATGTTTGAATGTAGGCATATTCATACCACTGAGTGTCTGTGTGTCTGAGTCCGCCGGTAACTTTGCGCTTTTGTCCGTGTGAATATATATCGACGCAAACCTTTCTATCACTATATTTCAACGCGTGTTTTGCGTCATGGTATAGGTACGCATGCGCAAGCTTATCGTCTGCTGTAGTGCTTATGCGTGTGATTACGCAAAAACAGTAGAAAAATATTTAAATTTGTGTAAGGGAAGAAAAAGAAGAAGAAAGGAAACGTGAACTCGAAACGGGGAAGCGCGATAAGCAAGGAAGAAACATTAAAAACAATCGGAGTAAATTCTTGAGGAAGAAAATGAAAATGAAAAAAAAAATGGCTGAACAAACGAACGAATCAAACGAGAGACAACAGAATGAAGCCAGTGAAGCAAGCCTTTTTTATGGGCAAGTGACAAGAAGTGATAGACAATCAGTGCTTATCTCGAGTGACATACGATAGTCACGTGACACGACCAGACGAATGCGAATGGCTTAGCTATCGCCTTTTCCTACATCTCTCACAAAGATACGTACACTCAAATCTGTACAAAACGCGTAAAGCATAGCAAGCCACAAATCGACACATGGGCACACATGTTGTAAGCATTCTGCACTAAAACAATGCAATCATGATTTTTTTTCTTAATCCTTGGCTCAGTTCTCGAAACAAGGATACGTTGTAAGATTCCTGTCTATCCACCATCACTTACCGAATAGGAATGACAGATATCTATATTTTTCCTTGTTTGCGCATATCTCAGATATTAGAATGATATGACCTCCAAACCGAGAAGGCCTTCTTGTGCCACGGAGTGTTCGGAATAAAAGACTAAAACTAAAATGGTTTCCCGCTTTCATCTTCGCAACAAAGTAAAATGCATTCTTTTTATATAGATTATTCGGACTATTGTACTCATTTTTGTCGCCATATTTATTACAACGTTTCCGCCGTTGTACGCTCCGGCCTTCTTCAGATGGTTGGAATGTCGAACTTAACCCTTTATTTCGCTCACTGGGGTAGACTGTTCTAGTTCCACGTGGCATGTTTTAATGGATGTCAGTTATCAGTTATCTTCTGTAAATTTCACTCTGAAATTTCTTCACACACACACACACACACACACACACACACACACACACACATATATATTATTATATTTATATATATTACAAAAATGCATTTGAACAAATTTCTTATCAGGTGGTGACAAAAAATGATTTTTTTTTCAATTTTGTTCAAATGCCAAATTCAGACATCTCATCAGGTGGTGATCAAAGATACATGACTAAACGATTTTTTTTTTCGCATTAGATTGTAGTAACTTAAATGTTCAAATGCCAGTCCTTCAGATGGTTAATGTCGAACTTAATCCTTTATAGTTTGATACACGTATTCGGCGATCACGTATCTTTTCGATACATGACTGACGAGACAGCCTTTTTCCGCATTAGATTGCCATTTCTCTGAAAGTTCTCCACTGCCTTTAACCAGGATTTATATTAGGAATGCGGTAGATCAGTTGCCATCCAACGCTCCGGCCTTCTTCAGATGGTTGGAATGTCGAACTTAATCCTTTATTTCACTCACTTGGGTAGACTGTTCTAGTTCCACGTGCCATGTTTTAATGGATGTCTGTTGTCAGTTATCTCCTGTTAATTTCCCTCTCCAAGTCTTCCACTGCCTTATATTGAACTCATATTCTTTGGGTCCTGTCACTGGATCTAACCAACGCTTTTATCCACTGTGCCATGTGTCATTGTGCCATGAGTCATTCGGATTACTATCACAAAATCGAGAATATTTAACATTGAAAAACATAAAGAAAAAAAATTAATTATTTTTAATAATATGTGGAAATCTCCGCCTTTTACCTGAAGACGGTCACAACACAAGAAACCCGTGTAGTAAAATTATGGAAAATAAAGCATAATATTTTTTTTTTTAAATCCACATTACAACCAAAAACGTTTGCGGTACCTCTCTTCTTTTTAATATACACTTTTCTCTCGTTGGAACCACTATAACCTCTTTCTTTTATATATATATAGCTTTCCCTGACGATCCGTTTAGGTGAAACCTGGGTAGGTTTGTCTGGCTCACTAGGTTTATTTAGGTCTGCTCTACGGTTGTATTGAGCTCTTTTGTTAGTTAGTTGTTTACTCATGTCGGGTTTTTTTCTTTGGGCTTTAAACCTGTATCTGGGCCCCGGGTTCGGAAACTTTGAAATTGACATGTAGTAGAGAGGGAGGTCCCGAATTAAAGTTTCGGTGACGGTCGGATGGAGACTCTAGCGCCGGCCCTGCCTTCATGAAATGCGAACACTTCGTATCTAGTGTACTTTTTTTAAATCTTTGTTATTGTTTCAAACGATTTTTGCATAAAAAATTATTTGGGAAATTAAAAAGAAAATGTTTGGTAGAGCAGAAATTGTTTGAAGCGCTAAACTTAACACTTTTGAATTTTTGACAATGCTACTTCACACTGCTAACACGGCTTTGGAGCATTGGAAATTGTTGGCCACTTCTTTTTCTCTTTGTTGGTGACTTTTATTATTGTTGTTGTTGTTGTTATTATTATTATTATTATCTTTGATTTCTGGCGTTTACACATTTCTTTCCGGGTCCCGCTCAGGGACCTAAGGTTAGAAATGACATCATGACACTTTCCACTGACAAAAAAAAAAAAAAAATTACATAGATAAAGCCCTTCGTAAAGTGTGGGCTGTACTTGTCAGAACAATTTTTTGTATCTCCTTGAGGCATGGACTTCCAGGAATCCCTTCAATTAGTCTACTGGAATCTTTTCCAACAAGTCCTAGGGCTCCAACTACAACGGGGATTGTTGATGTTCCCATATGCCACATTTCTGAGATTTCTATTTCAAGGTCCTTGTACTTTGACAACTTTTTGAATATCTTCAAAGATACATTGCAGTCAGCAGGGACTGCCATATCAATAAGGAGGCACCGTTTTTGTTTGTGGTCTTTAATAACAATATCTGGTTGGTTGGCTTTGATTGTTCTGTCAGTGTGTATTGTGTAGTCCCATAGAATTGTAACAGGTCCTATCTCCGTAACCGGGTCTGGGTGGTGTTCATACCAGTTTATTATTATTATTATTATTATTATTATTAACGTGGTTCATTAAGCTCTTAAAATTGTTCAGTCATTGGTTGTAGCTGACCGACGCAAAAACGGTCTTTTTACAACTGAGTATTTTTGTTTTGAATTTTAGCTCTTACTACAAAAAAATAGAATAAAATAAAATAAAATAAAATAAAAAAAATGAGACATCAGTACTGATTTTATTGTCAATTCCTGGAGTTTTATTAACCTTCCGTGTAAGTGACGAGAGAATCGGACAGAGTGCCTGGTTCTTTATATAAAAAAAAGCGTGAAAGCGAGCTAATTTGATCGAAAGTAGGGATGTAAATGTCACACTGAGCCCCGACTTTGTGAACAACGTTAAATTAAGAGAACGGATGTTTAGTTTACTGTAATTTCTTTTCTTTTTATGCGCCATGTCCTTTCAAGACGTAGGCGATCATGGCTCTCCACTACCTTCTATCCATTGCAGTTCTCAACAAGTTCCGTCCCTCTGCCACCTCCCCCAGACCACGTTCTGTCATCCACTTGCTTAACCCCGCTAGTTATGCCATGCGTTGTTTTCCCTTGTCTCTCTTTCCCTCTATTCGACCTGTGAGTATCAGATTCTCCAGGCCCTCCTTCCTCATTATGCGTCCCAGAAACTTCAGCTGCCTCTTCCTGATGTTAAATATAAGCCCCCTCCTTGTTTTCATCCTCTCTAAGACCTCATCGTTGCTCACACATATCCTTATCATCCTTCTGTAGAACCACATCTCCGTCACCTCGAGTCTCTTCTTCTCTGAGGAAATCGTTTAACATTTGCTGCCATAAAGAAGGACAGATGTCATGTAACAGCTCAGTATTCTTTTCTTTGTTACCAAAGAAATCCTCCTGCATCGCAATACTCTGTCCAGCTTTTGGAATTCATCCTTGGCCATCCCAATACGTTTACGGATCTCAGTGTCGCACTTACCGTCCTCTCTCAAGACGCTTCCCAGATATTTAAACTTCCGCGTAACACTATGAGCAACAGATATATCGAACAGGCCAAAAAAAAAAAAAGAAAAAAAATGCTGATGATTTCTAGAACATACTTGGCTGTAACGTTGTGTTTATAATAATATCATTATATATTAATCAAGATAAAATCAACAAATTCGAAATTAATTAAAGAATAGATAATTACCTCTCAAAATATGCAGAGAGATTTTTTTCATAGATTTATGGTCAGGAAGGCGTTTGGCATGCTGACCTTCCCCACAAGCTCAAGGGTTATTATGTCTCTGGACAAAGATTTGGCTTAATCCAATTGTTCTTAACAAATCGTTTAATGAAGGTCGTGTTGAAATGAAAATCTAGTTCACTCCACATTAATGTAGGGGTCTCCCAGGATCCTATCCTTGCTCCTAAATTGTTTCTTATTTTCATCAACGACATTACTGATGTCAACAGCTCCCAAATAAACAATATGGCTTCCGTTTCTCCAGGTTTACAACCGGTGTTAACGGCTGTCACAGAATTTGTCTACCAAGCTTTAGATAAGAACGGCGAAGCTGGAGACGCGGCTCTAAATATTTCAAAGGCGTTCGACAGAGTTTGACTTGCTGCCCTTCTGCGCATGCTCATGGGCTACGATTCAGTCTTGTTATCTGAAATGATAGAGGCAGGAACATCGAACCTTGCAGAAATCCCATGTAGGAAATTTATCCTTACCGCGGTAATCGGTCTCCTACATTTTAATATTTATGACCATTGAGTGTAACTATCGTCTACCACTAGATACTCTGCTCCGGTTAACGTTCCTGCGAAGTCTATACGTATTCTGAACCATGGCATATTGGTTTTCGGCCAAGGCTAAATTTTGATAGGTGGTGACTTCGCTGCCAGAGCACAACCTCACTAAATTTTCGATATCTTGATCCAATTTTGGCCATTAATTATAATACCTTAACGATTTCATTCTAGAAATTCCTGGATGTCCTATGTGAAATTCTTTTAGCATAAGTTTTTGCAACGATGCTGCATCACAATTCCTTCTGCGTACATAAGTGCATCAACACAAAAGGAAAATGCATTATTTCCACTTTTATTTTTCCTTTAAATCTTAATTGCTTCTTCATGTTCATGGGCTACGCTGTCATATTTGACTGAATCCAATCGTTCTTAATGTTGTTCATAATGACGGTCATCTTCGAGTATAGAATCCAGAGGTTAGCAGTGAATATTTCGAAGACAGTAGGAAAGCGTTGTTCAGGTTAGTGGATATTTTGGTAAAAAGTAGGATATTTTGTTCCTCTTCTTAAAAAGTAGCAGAGAGAAAACAAATGGTAGTTCTTACCTTCTGATTGGTTCCTCTTAGACTATAAATGAACAAAATGGGCTTTGACACTACGGAATATATACAAAATGGCCGCCTTTATCGGATTGAATATTCTCGTTTGATTGGCTTTCTTGGTAGACTATAAAATGAATCGTCATTTGGGCTAGTGGTCCAGTGAACTGTTAGTGTGTGGTCCAGTGAACTGTTGCTGAACGAAGTTAGTTTATAGTTACCTTTGATTTATTTTGCACCCTCTTGAACCCTTATTTTCATTTTCAGCCTGATTTTGCGTTTGTGTATTTTAAGTTTTTTTCTTTACCCTCCCCTTCTTTCATTTGTTTCATTTCATTTCGTTTGTTTTTATTTGTTTGT